TGTCAGAGATCATCCTCCTGACACACTCACATGCACACACACACACACACACACACACAGACCCAGAGAACGTGCATGAAGGCAGGATTAGCACTGTCTAATCCAGGACACTGGAACTGGGGACAGAAGGTGGTAGGAAGACTGAAATAACCCACTTCTTGTGTCCAGATGACAAAAGTAAAGGGCAGTGAGACTGTCCCCCAGGGACATCCTTCACTCCCCCACAATGAAGCTCCTTGTCCAATGAATGAGGAGGGTGAGGAGCAGAAGGGTCTGGGTCATGACATGGGGAAGCCCCAGCCCTCTGCCTGCTCAGGCCCAGTTGTGGAACTGTCTCATCACCAATTGTCTCTTGTCCTGTGCCCAGCAAGACTTCACACAGATTTGTTGCTGACGTGTGGCAGTCTCTCTGTTTACACCTGGACATCAGGCTGGAGAAGGAATTCTAGGAACTGGGAAGGAAGGAACGTGAGGCAGGTGTGAGAGCCAGAGCCCGGAGCTCACAGGGCCCCTGAGAGCGCTACAGATGCAGTGCCCATCACAGGCAGATTCCACAGGACTTTCCTGTACTGTGGTCCTCACCCGGGAATGCTGCCCATCCCACTGTCTGTAAGAGGGATTCTCTTCTTAATTCCTGCTGTGTAGGGATGAACACAGTTTGAGTGAGTCATTCTAGCAATAACTCAGATAAAATATGGTAGAGCCTTGAATGTTCAAAACTTGAGAAAAGCAATAACTACAGCACATGGAAAGATGTCATTGGTCACTAGAGGAATACAATTCAAAACTCAGTAAGAGCCCTGACCAGTGTGGCTCAGTTGGTTGGGTGTCGTTCTGCAGAGCAAGAAGGTGGCTGCTGTGATTGCTGATCAGGGCTCGTGCCTGGGTTGCAGGTTTGATTCCTGGGTGGGACAGGCACGCAGGCAGTCGATCAGTGCTGCTCTCAGAAACTGCTGTGAGGTACCACTCACCAGACTAGAAGGGCTGTAATAAAGGGAGACAGGTTAACAGTTGTTGGGGAGATGTGAAGAAATCAGGCCCAGACACCTGGCGGGTTGAAAATTCAACCATCCAGCCGTAGTGACCAACATCTAACAGCCTCTCACAGTCTTAACAGACTCTCACAGTCTTAACAGAACATTGTCACATGTCTCGGTAACTCCACTTCTAAGTGTCTGCACAAGAGAAACAAGAGCACACATCCAGTCAAAACAAAGTAAATCGGACACAGATGTTCCCAGCAGCACTGTGCATGGCAGCCAAAGACTAAAACAACTCCATGCCCATCAGCAGGTGACGGACAACAAACACCAGCCTGCTCAGTCATTGTGGTATTATTTGACCAAAAACAAGGATACTGACCCATGCCCCGGTACAGATGAGACCTCAAGCACATGGTTCGAAAGAATTGTAAAGGACACAAGACAGTCAACGAGGACCACCAATTTTCTGCTTCCGTCTATATGAGTGTCTGGGAGAGGGAACGTGTAAATGCAGAAAGTGGGTCGGGAGTGGCTTGGCACCAATGGAGGTGTGATGAGGGGTGACTACTGATGGTGGGGACTTTCTCTGAGAGATAATGAGAATGTCCTAAAATTAGAACATGGGATGGTAATACCACTCTGTAAATATGCTAAATGATGTTGTATTGTATGAATGAACTGGTGAAACTTATGGAATGCAAGTTATATCTTAATAAAGTTATGAAGAACATTATGAGGAGAATCAGCTGCCACCAACTCTCTAGGTGGGTTTTTGCTCACAAAGTCAGACCCTTGGAGTCAGACATTCTGGGCAGAGGCTTCCAACCTGGGCCTGTGGGCTGCATGCGGCCAGGATGGCTATGAATGTGGCCCAACAAAAATCATATATGTACTTACAATGTTATGAGATTTTGTGTGTGTGATTACGTGTCTCAATGTATTTAATGTGCAGCCCAAGACAACTCCACCTCTTCCAGTGTTGCCCAGAGATGCCAAAATGTCGGACACCCCTGCCTAGGGGCTGCCACATCACCTCCTTCATCTGTCACAGGCACGATGGGTTGATCATGGGAACAGGGCAGGTTTTTGTCTCAGTTCCCTATGGGGCTGGAGCACAGTGTGATTCCTACTATAGTCTAATGTGGAACAGTAATAATCAGCCTCATCCTCGGGCTGCAGGCCCGTGATGGTCAGAGAGGCTGTGCTGCCGGACTTGGAGCCTGAGAACCGATCTGGGATCCCTGAGGGCCGAGTACTTCCAAGCACCACAGTTTTGGGGGCAGCACCAGGAACCTGTTGGTACCAGGCTGCACCAAAAATTGCAATACTGTAGCTGTTTCCAGTGCAGGTGAGGGTGACCTTCTGTCCCACAGACCCTGATACCGAAGCTTCCTGTGTCAGCCCAGACTGCGCCCAGGACCCTGGAACAGAAGAGTGGAGACACACAGACGTGAGATGAGGTTATTTCCTACAGCGTGTTCTCAGTCAGAGAGGAAAAAGTAACCCAGGTGTGTCCCATAGTCACTACTCCAGTTCCCTTCAGTCAGTCACCTGAGCAGTGAGCAAGGAGGGCGAGGAGGAGAGGGGTCCAGGCCATGGTGGAGGTGCCCACACTCTGCTTCTGAGCCCACGAGGAAGAGAAGGGCACAAAGTGTCTTATCTTCTCCCCTCCTGGGAGGGCAGAGAGGACCCTTCATGCAAATTGTTTCCTCCTCCTGGGCCCCTGGGGATAAAACTGGTGAAAGCTGAAAGGGGGTGGGCCTGTGGGAGACTCTCTGGTTGGAGATGGGAGGGACCCTGGGGGGTCACAGCTGGTGGTCCCCAGGGAGCACAGAGCAAAGGGCACTGGGCTCTTGGCCTGGTTTCCAGCTGAGACCCCCCCACAGACCTTCAGGGATGGGCCCACAGCGCCCCCTGCTGTTTCAGAGTCCAGACTCACTCAGGACTGGAATGGAGAAGCAGGAGCTTAGCAGAGAGAGAGTGAGGCTTGGACTGCAGTCCTGCCTGGCACCCCACCCACCCCACACTAGGCAGGGGCTTCTCACCTCTTTGGGCTCTTGGCTGTGCTGCAGGTGTCCCCACCCCTCACTCCTTACTCTAAACACATGACCTCCTCAGCACAAGGTCTTCTTCCTGCTCCTCCTTCCATTTATATAATTACATTGTTGACACCATATAGGTGCCTGAGCCCTCAGAGTGAACGCGTCCTCCACTCAGAGAACAGAGGGACCGAGGGCATGCAGACCCCTGCACACTTGGTATTTCAGGGCCGGAGGTGACTGGCTCTTCTCTCTCTCCTCACACTTTACTTCCCACCAAGGTGTCCCAGTGCCATAAACCTCTTCAATTGTCCCATCGTCACCTGCCACGGGGCCTCGGTCCACTGATCATCAGTCACAGGAGACGTCTCCATTAAGAGACCAGAATCATTCAGAAGCGAGATCTGGATACTTATTGCCCACCCCTCTGACAGCATCCACATGAGACGGTCACAGCACTTCCCTCCCAGGATGCAGCCAGGTCCCCTCAGCCCCTGAGTGGTCCACCAGGGAGAACAGGTCCCTCGCTCCACATGTGGCCTGCATCGGGACAGGGTTGGATCACGGGGATGTGCAGAAGCATTGAAGTTGCTACAAGAGTGTTCAGTATGATGACACTGACGTCCCCAGGGGCCCAGCTGAAGCCTCCCTCACTGCCCACAGTGCCTATTTGTTCACTCACCACACCTTCTCCAGGCCCTACTGTGGGAGAGACTCATATTCCACTCATGTGCAGAATGTCAACACAGATGCCTCCCCAGTGCCTTTACCTAATCAATGCCTATGGTAACAATGCTTTTAATATGAATTATATATACTTTAATATAAAAACATTTATACATTTTTCTGTACAGTCATGTCCACTCTCACTTACTACCTTCAAAGGTGCACATTGTATTCTTTTGAAGCTTCAAGACTTCCCTCTGAGTAAGTCACAGGAAACACCTTTTCACTGCATTTCACAGGTACCACAAGAAACTAAGGGGTTCTCATGGCCGTGAGAGTTTCTTGTTGTCTTATCGTAGTACTGATTGTCTGCACCATGGTGAGGTTTATTTGCCTGCAAAACCTTGAGGGTCTGGAATCTTAGATTTCACAACAATGTCAAGTTATTTCAACAGAATCCCTCTCTTGACGTGAGAGAGAGGTTAAAGCTTAAAACAAAAGGAGGTGGATCCTAAACGTGCACACAGACCAGTGGCTCATAGAGACTCAGAGTGGCCCCTGTGAGGGGCTGTGGATCCACCTGACAGGGGTGTGGCTCCCTGAACCCCACCCCTGTCTGTCTTCTAAGACTCTCTCCTTCCTTGGGCTTTGCCTATTGGTGCCCGTGATGGAGTCATGTTTTTTAAAGCACTGACTACCCTTCCAAGTGTGTATGTCACACAAAATGACATCCAGTTAAAAGCCACTCTGAGGGTGGTGTTGGGGTTTTGGTCAAGACCTGCTACACAGGCTTCACCCCCACATTCTCCAGGGATCCCCTGAACCATTCACTGCTCCAGCTGGGAGACTGAGGAAGGCAGAAAAGGGTTCTGACAATGTTTTTGTAAATTAAAAACCCAAAAGGTGTTTCTAATCATATGGAGCAGTAAAGATGTCAAAGCTACTCTTTATCCAGTGTCTCCCAGCATTACTAAGGGGGCGGGAATCCTGTGATACTGGACGCAAGCTCATCACCACATGATCCGTGTCAGTTGCTGCCAACACAGTGTCTCCAAGACAAGAAAGGTACCTCCCATCCTCAGAAAGGCTCAGCTGGTACCAGCTTCCCAAAGTCAGAATCCAGAGGTGTGATCATCCTCATTTGGCACCACCTACAAATGCAAACTCCCCAATGTCCTGGGATGCCGCCCAATGAGGCTTTATTGGAGAAATTTGCAGCAGTGGGTTCTGCAGATCCACAGTCCTGCTAAGCTCTCTCGAGCCTTGTGAGTAGCAGGTGGCACAAGATGATGCTCCACCAACTGAGCCACCTGGGCAGGACCTGAGGCAGCCTTTGGCTGATGTCCTGGTGAGCACAGAGAGGTCACACACAATCATATTCCAGTGTGGATGACACTCTGTTAGCTCAGAATCTCTGGAGCTGGAGAAACCTGCTTCCCCTGAGACCCAGGAGGAGAGACGCGGTCCCAGAAACAGGCCGCAGTGGGCGCAGGCAGACGGAATGGGAACTCACTCTCTCATGGGGGCAGCAGTGTCCCGGGAGGTGCACCTGGGACACGCTCAACCCCATGATGCACCAGAAGCCTGCAGCCCACACACGCCTTTGATTAAGGCCCATACCTGGTGAGCACAGGTGAGTTCAACCCCCTCCTTCCTTGTCTATCATGCCCCTGTAGGATTACGCAGCCCTGAGACCTAACTTAGGCCTGTGTAGACATGAGCAGGCTGAAAAGATATTAACAATGGAAAAATAAAATTTTTAACTACGGACAATAGGAAAATAGTTGTGCAGACATGGGTATTAGGAAAAGAGTTGCTCACTGAAAAGTGACAACAAATGCCACCTGAGTTCGACTTGGTCCCAGGCAGATAAGCAGTGACAACCACAGGCAGAAAGAGCACAGGGAGGTTTCTGTCTCACTTCCCCATGACTCTGGAGCACCGTGTAAGTATCACTGCTGTCCCATGCAGCACAGTAATAGTCGGCCTCGTCCTCAGGCTGCAGCCCCGAGATGACCAAATGTGCTGCGTTGGCTGAGGTGTCTTTGGATCCAGAGACTCGACTGGGGACCCCAGGTCCCAACTTGTTGTTCGAGTCTGAGTAGTAGTACAGAAAATACCTGGGAGCGCTCCCTGGCTTCTGCTGGTACCAGTACATGTATTTACTACCAACACTGAGGTCTCTGCTGAGGGTGCAGGTGAGTCTGGCAGTGGCTCCAGGAGATGCAGACACAGAGGGCGGCTGAGTCAGCACAGACTGGGAGAGGGAACCTGCAGAAACAGACAAGATGGATTCAACAGAAGGTCAGGGTGCAGGTGCTGTGGGTCTCTGGGTCCCGTCCCTACCTGTGCAGTGACAGAGCAACACCAGGAGCACAGGGGCCCAGGCCATGGTGAGCAGGCTGCTCCTCAGTCCACACAGCTGGGGCTGGGCTTCCCAGGCCCCTCTTATCCCCTCCCAGCTGGCCCCATGGAGGAGGGGCTGCTTATGCAAATGAGTCCCCATCCCCTGCCTCTTTCCCAGGTTCCCCCACAGGGTGTGAGCTCTTGCTGTGGGAAGCCAGACTGACACATTCATTTCCCCCTGCGTAAGTCTGGGAGTAAGTTTTCTTGGGAGCACATGGAAGGCCATGTGCATGGAGCTGATACGGGTCCAGAGAAGACAGTCCCCATACTGTCCTCACAGGAATCGAAGTGTCCAGCACTGAGGTCTCCTGTCACTGGAGGGCTGCCTAGCCAGGAGCTCCTGTTTGGCAGAGATGGTCTCATGGCGCCCTCTGCTGGTCCCCAGCTAAACTGCTCCTCTTTCACGTTGATCCCAAGTCTAGTTTTTACCGTCTGCTTGGCTCCTGTGTTTCCAGCACATTACAGTCATTGGTACAGGGGTCAAGAGTCATCCTTACAGGGAATGATGCAGGCGCAATCCTGGTGTGACCACCATGGATTTGGGCACACATGTCAGACCCAGGAGAGCCTGACAACTGCCTTAGTGTGAGGTCACGTCAGGAAAGAGAGCAGAATGGATATGGGACTGAGGCCAGGCCACAGCCCTGATCACTGCAGCAGGAGGACCCTGGGACCCTGCAGCAGAGGAGGGGGGCTCCAGAGGATTCCTTGAGCCTCAGGGCTTTCCGATGTCTCCCACAGGAGTCAACTGGGAAGACAGTAGCCGTCTTACAAAGCCTGCCCCCCAAGCATGTACCTAGGGCAAGGCATGAATTATCCCCATGTTTGCAGGAGCCCATGTTAGGAGGAGGGCACAGCCCCTGTCCTGTGGGTGGGACACAGCAGCACAGGCCCTGGTGGTGGCCCTGGAAGTGCACCACTCAGACCTCCTTCCCAGAGACCCTGCAGGGCAGCAGAGGCCACCTGCAGTGCCACAGCCTCATTGTGGTTCCAGGCCAAGAGGGGCAGCTGAGAGCACAGGGATCAGCCTTTCCTGCTGGAAGCAGTGTCCTCTAAGGGCCCCCACCTGCAGGAGACTTGCAGGCACTCAGCCTGCCTGAGCCCTTCCCAGACCTGGGCTGTGGTCGGAGCTCTTCCTGCCCCATCCCTCCTTCTCTCCCCTTCCCGGGAGCAGCCCTGTCCATGATGGCTCTCCCTCCTCCATCCCTTCCAGTCTTGCCTTCACTGGAGTTCTCACCTGCAAAGTCACTTCTCCACTCATTTTTTGTCCTTTACCTCTCAGATTGCACAGTAAAGAAATTCCAGGTCAGAGACAAAAGCAATCCACTAGAAAAATATGGATCTTTTGTTCATCGATATAGTGAGTCAATGCGTTTATTCATTTATTCAGTTAAAAGTATATACTTTAAAAATTGACTTACTGCATTAATGTATATGTACACATATTTGTATGCAGGTACACACATATTTATTACATATGCATATATTTATGAATATGTACAGATAAGTGTACACATTCATGTTCACACAAAATGTTTTCATTTAATACCACAGGCCCAGCACTGATGTGCTGTCTCTTCCACAAACTCCTTTCAGATCAGGTTCAAGTCCAGAGCAGTGACTGTACTTGGAGGCCTGTTTCTCCTGTGCAGGACCAGGTTCTCTCCTTGTATGCGATTCTTCCCTGGTGGCCTGAGACACCATGGTAAAGTTTATCAAGATTCTGGGCAAAAAAGGGTAATATTGGAGGATTCCCAGGTGTCCCACGTCCATCCCTACCTGTGCAGTGAGAGAGGAGTACGAGGAGGAGAGGGGTCCAGGCCATGGTGCTCACAGCCCCTGAGCCCACAGTGGGGCTGGGCTGCCCAGGCCTCCTTTTCTCCCCACCCTCTGCCAGGGGAGGGGCTGTCCATGCAAATGTGTGTCCACCCAGGGACTGCCCAGCCCCTCCCTGAGCCCTGGTGCTGGAGCTCAGCTCACACCCCAGACAGAGGGGGGTGGAGTTTGGTTTCACCCTTTGGGAGAACCAGGGGGAGGGGGGAAGCGCCTGCTCAGACCACACTAAGGTCCCTGTGTTGGAAGCTCTACGAGGTCAGAGTAAGAACAACTGCTGAGTCCCCATCTGGAAGCACAAACCACACACTCTGAGACCCAAGCTCCACTGAGTAAATAAATGGTCCTCAGTGAGCAGCTGAGAGGGGGGCTCAGGACAGTTGTACAGCCTCTCTTCCTGGTCATAGGGCACATACCTCCCCATGCCCCAAAGTCCTGGGACTCCAGCTGGTTCCTGCTTCTTACCAGGTCGCTCTTTCTAGTCACACACCCGTGCTCTGATGCCTAAAAATGGGCTAACGTATGATGCAGATCATCCACTTCTGGGATTTATCTGAAGCAAGGAAAACACTACGTCAAAAAGATACATGCAGCCCATGTCCAAGGAGCTTTGAATTAAAACAAAGCCAATAACACAAAACAAAAAATGAAAAAGACTCACCACCAAACCAAACCAAACAAACTAACAAACAAATGAAAACCTCACAGACACAGAGAATGGGTTGGTGTTTGCAGAGGCTGGGAGTGGGAGTGGGGGAACCGGGCACAGGAAGCCAGCAGGAGTGAACTCCCAGTTGGAAAAGGGAAGACAGTGAGCAATGGGGACCTGACCGCGTGTGTGGTTGGGTCCGTCCTTTTTCCAAATCACCTGCAGTGAATGACTGTCTTTAGGTGCCCAGGAAGGGAACCAGTGTGTCTAATTCTCTACTGACAAAGGGTTTTCAAATACCATGGAGAGCTCATACATGTCTATGCCAAGGAAGTTCAGAGAAGGAGGAAAATGCAACATATGCAAACATACGGATGATAATGTAAATGTCTACTGATGTAGAATCCACTGTTTCACAGTAAGGTGGCCTATTCCATGGTTGGGCAACTGATTCTTTTTTCTGGATTATAGCAGTGTATCCTTTATTAACAAAAGTTTGTATGTGTAAATTAGATAAATAAAGGGGTTTACCTGCCTTATAGAAATTCTCAGGGCATTGAAAACATCAATCGAGTGTTAAATACACAATTGAAACACACCTAATATATTAGAAATTCCCGTGATTATCTTGTAAATTATGGAGACATTTTTTCTTTTTTACAATTAGAATTCCCAAACCTAGAAAATAGGTTACAACCCAAGACGGTCTATTTCACGGCTCAGGGACACTGCACATGTGGTTCAGAGAGGCAGCGATTTTGGAATACAGATGCTAAGTAGGCAAATTTATTAATAGATTCAAGTAAAATATTACTAAACATATACCTCTGAAGAGCACACTACAAATAACCACCATACTATTGAAATCTGTGAGGAACTTAAAAGTGTGGTTCAATGGGCCACTTTGTACTCTTTAAACTGTGACCCTGTGGCTGAGCCTACACATTCTTCCATGTCTCAGCACCGATGACATCTGATGGGCGAGGCCCTTCTGAATTCTCTCTGCTTCCAGGCCAGGCTGTCTCTGCTTTATAAATGCCATACATTTCTTATGAGGTAATTGAAATATCTAAATAACAAAATATGAATTCAAGGTTCTTTTAGTTCACAGGCAGGAATATTAGTACATGGGAACTATCTGCTGATTTTCAGTCAGAATTGGTGGCGTGAATCAGAGTAGGACACAGGACTTAATAATACAGACAGAGAGGTGTCACTGCATGCCAGTGTCAGTGAGAGAAATGGAGAATCAGAGTCAGGCGCGACCAGGGCGGCCGTCACTGCAGGCACCACTGAGGTCCTTCCCAAAGAGCTCACTAGAGGGCACAAGCCAAGAAGCAGTCAGACGTGGATTTATTTGTTGAAAAAGCAGGTGCTGCTTCTCTCTCAAATCAGGGGGAAGTAAGAAGCAGTTTTTATAAGCAGCACCAGGGATGGAGGAATGGGGTTTATTTAGAGTCATATGGAATATTAAGTGTCACAGTGAAATTGAAAAGTACACAAAAATATTTTTATCGATGTTTTCTTTTACTGCAGATGCGTAGGTACTAGCATATATCAGTGTCACCGTGACCACTGTGTGTTCAGTTTGGCCTCCGTGTCCCTGAGACTCTAGAAGTGGGATGGAAAACTGGGAGTAGACCCATCATAAACCAGACGGTACCTCCGAGTATATTTATATACACACAAATTATGTTCGTGCATACAAAAAATGTTAAATTGTCTTGAAAGAAAACTCTGGTAGGCTAAGGTTTTTGTCCCACTTCCCCATGTGTGTGAGTCACTGTGAGGAGCACTACTGTGCCAGATCCCACAGTAATAGTCGACCTCGTCCTCAGGCTGCAGCCCAGAGATGGTCAGGAGCCCTGCATTGGCCGAGGTGTCTTTGGATCCAGAGAAGCGGCTGGGGACCCCGGAGCCCTGGCCCTTGTCTGAGTCTGATTTATACCACAAGAGGAACTTGGGAGGGCTCCCTGGCTTCTGCTGGTACCAGTTGATGTAGTAGCTGCCAACATTGATGTCACTCCTGAGGGTGCAGGTGAGTCTGACTGTGGCTCCAGGAGATGCAGAGAGGGAGGGCGGCTGAGTCAGCACAGCCTGGGAGAGGGAACCTGCAGACACAAACATTCATGGTTATTTTGGATGAGAAACAGAAAAATTCTCTAAAAATTCTGAGTCAGCGGGGAGTAACCTTAGCAGCTCCCTGTGTCCCTGAGGCCTGTCCCTACCTGTGCAGTGAGAGAGGAGCACGAGGAGGAGAGGGGTCCAGGCCATGGTGCACACAGCCCCTCAGCCCACAGTGGGGCTGGGCTGCCCAGGCCTCCTTTTCTTCCCCACCCCCTGCCAGGGGAGGGGCTGCGTATGCAAATGTGTGTCCATCCAGGGGCTGCCCAGCCCCTCCCTGAGCCCTGGTGCTGGAGCTCAGCTCACACCCAGACTGAGGGTGTGAAGGGTTTGCTTTACCCATTGAGTGAGCCCTGCAGGGGAAGTACTTGCTGAGAAAACACAAGTTCCCAGCTTGGGGACCATATAAAACCAGAGAGGTCCCAGTGGTGAAGTCCCCATCTGTGAACACAGGGCCCAGCCCCCATTCCCAGGTTCCTGTTAGTGAATGGTCCTTCCTGAGCAACTGAGTAGGCCCAACAGGGCAGCCCAACAGGGCAGCCCCACAGTGCCCCCTAATGGTCACAAGGTACACATGTCTTTCTGGACCAAAACCCTGAGAGCCCAGCTGGTTTCTGCAGCTCAGCAGGTCACTGACTCTATTCACACATCCAGGGTCTGGTTCCCAGATACCATGATGCTGATACACTGTACTGGTTAGTGGTGCATCTCACTCCCAGGAATCCACAACTGTGGGAGGGGCAAACTTGTACCTAAATGACAAATTAATTTGGTTTCTCACCCCCCCCCAGTTTGATATTGCAAAAGTAAATGTACAGTGACCTTGATGTCCAGTGTCAAAGATGAGGGGACCACTCGTCTGATTTGAAGGCTCATAAGGGCTGCGCAGAGAACCTGGCAGGAGCACACACAGGGTCCGGTGCAGAGGAATAACCAACAAACGGCTCAGTCACGTGATGCAGGTACAGTTTCCATAGATCTGATGTGACTAAGTGATGGGCAACAGTAATGGCTTTCGAAGGCTTCACACTCACCATCGGAAAGTGGAGCGTGCTACCCATTTCAGAGTTGCCTCCCTACCTCAGTTTGTGGAGTTTGTGTGCCTGTGTCACATGTTTCTTGTTGGGGTTTTGTGATAGGTGACCTAACATCTGTTTATATCTTAAACAAATTTCTACCCACCTGTGTTCTCTTACTGATTGTCTGATTTTTGTAGCAAGATAAATGTGAAATTGAAGTTTTCTTTTTAAATTTGAACTATGGTGTTTTTCAGTTCTTTAATTTCCATCGGGTTTGTTTTCATGACTTTATTTCAATTCTAAATTTTTCTCTTTACCCATTTGAAACGAGCAGGCTTATGACCGCTCATCAAATGGATGTTGGGATTGCTCTCAAAAAATCCCAGTCACAACATTTCCTCATCTAAGTCACCTCAGTGTTAGCAGGAATAGATTTTCTTTGCATTCATGCTTTGTTTTTTTGTGTATTTTTAACATGACAAGCAATATATTTACACTGGATTTGTGACTTTGTGGATTAGACTAGGAGGAGCTTAGCAGAAAGAGAGTAAGGCTTGGACCTCACTCCTGCCTGTACCCCACCTACCCACACTGGGCAGGGGCTCCTTGTCCCCCAGGGTCCTCACTGTGCTGCAGGAGTCCCCACACCTGACTCCTTCCTCTAAAGAGATGACCTCCTCTGCATGAGGTCTTCCTCCTGCTCCCCCTACCATTTAGATAATTATGTTGGTGGGACCATATAGGTGCCTGAGCCCTCAGAGTGAACGTGTCCTCCACTCAGAGAAAGGACGGGCGGAGGGAATGAAGACCCCGGCGCACCTGCTTTTTCAGGGTGACCGGCTCCTCTCTTCCCCCTCATACTTTTTTTCCCACATGTTGTCCCAGTGCCATAAACCTCTTCAATGGTCCCATCACCTGAGATGGGGCCTGGGTCCACTTACAGCAAATCACAGGGGACGTCTGCAGAAAGAGACCGGAATCATTCAGAAGTGAGATCTGGCTTCTTCTTGTTCGGCCCCCTGATAGCATCCACATGAGACGGTCACAGCACTTCCCTCCCAGGACGCAGCCAGGTCCCCACAGCCATGGACGTGTGACTCCTATGCAATACAGTGAGCTGATGTGCCCTGTGACTTATTCAGAGGAGGTGTCAGGCCATCACAGGAAGATAATATGCACTTGTAAACTCAGTGAGAGTGGACTGTGACTGGATAAAAAAGTAACTATGTGTACACCCACACACATAACCCAAGAATTTATTAGATTAAGTTTCTAAGGGCATAATTGTGTTAACATTCGGTACGTGAGAGGAATACGAGTCTGACACACAGTAGAGTCTGGAGAAGGTGTGTTGAGTGAACACAGAGCCATTGTGGATGGTGAGGGAGGCTGTGACAAAGCCCCAGGGACGTTAGGTCATCATACTGAACACTCTCCCTAAACTTCAGTGCTTCTTTGACAGCCGTGTTGGTATCATCACAGTTCAATGGTCATTTTCAGCCCTGTTCTCGGGCTGCAGGCTCGTGATGGTCAGAGAAGCCATGTTGCTTAACCTGGAGCCAGAGAACCAAGCTGGGATCCCTGAGGGCCAAGTAGTTCTGAGCATCACAGCTTTGGGGCAGCACCAGGGATGTGTTGGTACCAGCCTGCACCAGGGCTCCCAACACTGCAGCCGTCCCCAGGGCAGGGGAGGCTGACCTCCTGTCCTGCTCATTTTGTTCCCATTGCAGATGGAGAGTGAGCATGTCACCCCCCACTGTCCTGGGGCCCTTCCTGCTTCACTAACCAAAGGCCTGGCCCACAGCAACTTCCCTCATTTATTTGAATGATCAGTATCTTTTCCTTTGCATTCTTACTTGTGATTAGAACATTCCGGGCCCCACCCATACATCCACGCCACTCCTACTTATTCCGCCAATTCCAGACTGAAGATCAGTCTATTTATTAGGCCTCATTGGCCCATCTCCTCACCCACCCTCAGGTCCAATCCCACCCACACAAAGCATCTCCCGTGCAGGTGCTTTTTTCCACTCCTTACACTTTTCCTCACAGCACAGCTTCAGGGGCTGGTAACAAGCAGACAGAGAGCTGTAAATACACAGATGGCATAGTTCTGGTTTCAATTGTAATTAAGAAGACATTTATAAGTTCTTTAGATAAAAACTCATTTTTATCGCATGTCTGGAGCATCCAAGTGTATATCCCAGTACAAATTCAAACCCCTCTCCCTTTAGGACAGCCCCACAGCGCCCCCTGCTGGGTCCACATCCCAATCCCTCCAGGTCCTATGACCTGTCTGAGGAATGCAAGTACAATGGTCATGATTTGGGATGATTTTACTAATAACTCTGGATCTAACTGATTAGGGGTCTTGGAATTTTGGTCCACACAGAGAACAGAAGAGACTGTTGTAAATTTGTAGGATACACCTTATGTGATCTTTGCAAAATATTTAGTTTGTGAGCAGGCAATAAAGATAGTAATACTAGAAAACAAAATTTTTACCTATAGACAATAAGGGATAAAGCACACATCCAGGGGTCCTAGGAAAAGAGTTGCCCACTGAAGACGTGACAATAAATGTCACTCTACATTAGTCTTTGTCACAGCCACCTCAGGAGGGACAGCCGCAGCCAGAAAGAGCAAGGGGAGGATTCAGTCTCACTTCCCCGTGGCTCTGGAGCACCGTGTAAGTACCACTGCTGTCCCATGCAGCACAGTAATAGTCGGCCTCGTGCTCAGGCTGCAGCCCAGAGGTGAACAGGAGCCCGGCATTGGCCGAGGTGTCTTTGGATCCAGAGAAGCGACTGGGGACCCCGGAGCCTTGATGTTTACTTGAGTTTGTGTGATAGTACAGCAGATACCGAGGAGGGCTCCCTGACTTCTGCTGGTACCAGAATATACCACAGCTGCCGACACTGAAGCCACTGCTTAGGGTGCAGGTGACTCTGGCTGAGGCTCCAGAAGATGCAGAGAGGGAGGGCAGCTGAGTCACCATAGGCTGGGAGAGGGAACCTGCAAATAGAGACATGTGTCACTGATGGGGCAGAACCAGGGGAAGCTTCTCAGGAGATGGAGCAGGAAGGGAATAAACTTAGCAACAGAGCCCTACTCCCCGAGGCCTGTCCCTACCTGTGCAGTGAGAGAGGAGCATGAAGACGAGAGGGGTCCAGGCCATGGTGCACACAGCCCCTGAGCCCACAGTGGAGCTGGGCTGCCCAGGCCTCCTTTTCTCCCCACCCCCTGCCAGGGGAGGGGCTGTGTATGCAAATGTGTGTCCATCCAGGGGCCGCCCAGCCCCTTCCTGAGCCCTGGTGCTGGAGCTCAGTTCACACCCCAGACAGAGGGGGATGGAGGTTGGCTTCACCCCTAGAAAAATCATGTGGATCAGACAATATCAGGTACATTCAGGACAGCATGGCCTTATGGACCATCTGAATGGACCCCAAACACTACTTTGATAGAACATCAGCAGCCCTATGTTCATGGCGGCATTGTTTATAGTCTACAAGATAGGAAGCAGCCTCAGTGTCCATCAATAGATGAGTGGATAAAACAACTATGGACATTTACACAATGGAATACTGCTTTGCCATAAAAATGAAGAAAATTTTACCTTTTATGACACGATGGATTGACCTGGAAAATTTGATGCTGTGTGAAATAAGCCAGTTAGAGAAACACAAATACCATATGATTTCACTCATGTGTGGAATCCAATACACAAACTGAACTAAGAAGGAAAGTAGAGACAGACTCTTAGAGACCAGGGTGACAGCTAAGGAGGGGGAGTCAGAGGGTGGAGGGACTGAGACAAAAAGGAAAAAAGACTCATGGACACGGACAACAGTAAGGTGATGGCTGGGGTGGGGGGAGGTGATTAAAAAAGAATGAATCATAATGGAAAAAACATAATTAAAAAAAGAAAAAGCATGGGGAGGAAGCACCTGCTGAGAGAACACAAAGGTCTTTGCTCAGAGGATCTGCCAGGCCAGAGAGGACCCATCTGCAGGGTAACAGTCAGTGAGTTCCAGCCCCTCCCCCAGCCCCAGGCTCCATTGAGTAAAGAGTCCTAACTGAGCTACTGTGTATGGAGCACAGGGCAGTCCCACAGCGCCCCCTGCTGGTTTCAGCCCACACTCCTCACCAGGGCCTGAAGCCCTAAGAGCCCTGCTGGTCTCTGCAGCTCAGCAGGGTACACATGGTTCCTTGGGCTTCATTCCTAAAACTGCAAGGACTGTATGATCCTGAATTCCATTTGTGGGTGTTTATCTGAAGAAAACTAAAACATCCCTAGAAGAAACGTGCAACCCCAGGTCCAGGGCAGCACTGTTACACAATAATCAACATGTGGAAATCACCTAAGTATCCCTTCATGGGTCAATGCCTAAAGATCAGGTCATACATAATATAAAATGTCAAATCCATGTATAAATGAGCCTTTGAGAGAAATGGAATCTTGTCATTTGACACGACATGAATAAAACTTGGGGACATTGTGCCATGTAAATAAGTCAAACAGCAAGACAGATACCATGATCTCACTTACATGTGTGATCTGATCAACAAAAAAACCCTGACAAACAAAACATGCAGAGAAAAAACTGGTGGTTGCCAGAGGCTGAGGTAGGGTGAAACAGAAATTAGTGAAGAAGTTCAAAGGTACAGATTTGCAGTTATAGCATAAATCAGGCCCTGGCCAGGTAGCTCAGTTGGTTAGAACATGTTTGGATGAGGCAAGGTTGTGGGTTCAACCTTTGGTCAGGGCACATACAAGAAGCAACCAATGAATGTGTAAACAAGTGGAACAACAGCATCCACATCTGTGTGTGTCTCTCTCCTTCTCTTTCTTTCTGTGTCTCTCATACCTCCTTCCTCTCTCTCTCTAAAGTCATTTCTCCAAAAAACCATCACTATTTTTTTAGAATGCTCTAGAAGCCAGTATCTGGGAAAAGACAGGCTCATCACACTGGGCACCGTAATAAGCAATCACACTAAGCAGACAAGACAATAAAATATTTAGAGTAAACTAGTGCAGGAACATGCACATTTGTAAATATTTCCATATGCAATTGGACATGCCCATGAACAAACCTGAGTTCACGTTCCTTACATCTGCAACTCTGACACGTCACTGCCGGGAGCATCACGCCTCCTCCCTGTGGTGATAAGTGTCGATTTCCATTCCTGGAGTGAGGAGTCTGGCCCCCACCTGTGCCCACCCACTTATGTGATTATGTAACGACTGTGCACAGCACAGCCACACCTGCACTGTTACCTGGACCCCCTGGGAATCCACTTTACCACCTGGAGCACAGTTTCATGTGCAGTTTCCTTTGCTGTTAGTGTGACCGGCGCCCTCACTGTCACAGGTACTTCGGTCAGTAACTTCCTTCCCCTTCTCCCCAGGGCAGTGGCTCCTGCCTTCACAGTGCAAACTGATGGGCTCCTGTCACTTCCGCATCCCACCACGGGACCCTCAACCTCCTAAACTGCATTTCATGTGCACACATTAAGGTCTGTCATTGTGCTTCTCAGTTTTCAATGCATTTGACAAGCTCGTAGTGCCATTTAGGTGCCCTTGCATTGTCACGTAGAATAATTCCCTTGCTCCTCCTTTTTTTCACACAGTCAAATTTACAACAGATGTTCAGACACTCCCCAGAGTTTTGCCTCTTCCAAAATGTGGCATCATTAGAAACATAATGTGAATCACATCGTCTTTTAAAAAGAGGCCACTTGTTGGAGGACCTCACAGCTGCTTCCTTGGGTGAGTCTACACACAGCTGTAACACACACCCACACACGGCCTTTCGGTTGCTCTCAGGTTGGGGAGACTGTTAATAAAGTGGCTGTGAACATTGGCATGTAAAATTTTCTGTGGATAGAGACTGCGCAAAAACACTAACCCATTCACATATTGGATGTTTCAAATGTGTTTGATACACATATGTACTTATTTCCAAATACTGAACAAAAGGAAGCTTTCCTGATTCTTATAGAAAGCAGGTATTATGGAGAAATAAACACCTAACAGAGAAAATACAAAAAAGAAAAAAAGGACAGAAATTAAACTGAATTATTAATGTAAACATTCTAAACAAAATATTAACACAGAGATTCCAAAATCAGACTAGTAAATAGACACACCTTCACCACAGCTGATTTGTTCCAGATGCAAGTCGAGTTGCATACTGGCAGCCCTTTCACAGAGCACATCATTTTAAGAGACCAAAGGATAAAATCAAAACACCTCAATAGATTCAGAAGAAGCCTTTGAACAAAGTATAAATAAATTTCTCATGAAAACACGCACAGTGTAAACTGCAGGCACATCTGCAGTGCGGGCACTCACACTCCCTCCTCACACACACGCCTGAGCCCACACTCAGCTCTCAGCTACTGAGGCGGGAGGACGACACTCCCACACAGATCGAGAGCTGGCCAGTGTGACCTCACCTGCGTTGTCATTCAGCGTCACACGGCAAGTATGAAAATGCACGTAAACAAGAAGGAATCCATGGTCGGATCGTAGCACTGATGGGAACAGACACGGGGTCACTCCCCGGCCCCAAAGGTCCGCCACAGTCTGAGGAGCTGTGGGGCCAGGTCAGCCAGGACAGGGGCCTCTCTCTGGGAGCTACAGGGACAGGGGTTCACAGTGAGGGACAACAGAGAGGACGGCAGCTCTGGAACATCGAGGAAAGAGGTCAGTGGTCAATGACAAAGACCCAAGGCTCACAGTGACTTTAGAGTTAGTGTCTGAAATGACCAGAGATGGTACCCCCATTTCAGCCCCTGGGCTTCAGGGCAGAGCCACTCTGTGTCCCCAGCTGATGGGGAGCTGACTTCTGTTTGTTTGGAGACCTGCTGTCTAGGAAGGGGCTGCAGTGAGGTGCTGTGAGGGCAGCAGGTGGAGGAGGCACATCCACTCCCCAGGGGCTGCCCTGGAGGAACCTGGCCCCGGGTGGCGGCAGAAGCAGAAGCCACAGGTGTTCTGAGTGGCAGATACTGGAACGTGCCCTCCCAGCTGATGAGAAGGAGCTTCTCCTGGTCTCAGGCCCCACAGGCCTGCAGCTCTGTGTGAGGCAGCCTTGTCCTCAGCTCTGAGCCCAGTGAAGGTCCAGGAGCCTGAGCTGCCAACCTGATCCCAGGAATGGATTGTGGGCCACACAGGGTGGATGACATCAAAGCGATGTAGAGAGGAGAAGCTGAGTGGGGACATGTTGGTGACAGCACACACATGGGGCCTTCCTGACGTGCACTGATGGGGACACAGCCGGGTCCCATGTCTCTGGTTGTTCCTTGCTCATCACAGACTCTGTTCCCAGCACAGCCTCCCCCTGACACACAGGAAGTTCCCCTCATTGAGAAAACTACACACTGTGTTGTTGGCACAGACTGGCCTCAGAGGCAGCGTTCAAAGGATGGACAGATGTTCCCATCACAGTCCCCTGTGGTGGGTCTCAGACTTGAGTTCAGGCCAAGCAAACTGAGAAAGCAGCTGTCTTCTCAGAACAGTGGGGACTGCACCAGGGAAGCACACTGCAGGGGACAGCAGGTTTTTGTCTCACTTCCCCACAGCCCTGCAGCACTGTGGGAGCACTGATACTCTTGTCCCATGCTGAGCAGTAATAATCGGCCTCGTCCTCAGCCTGGAGCCCAGAGATGGTCAGGGTGCCGATGCTGCCAGACCTGGATCCAGAGAATCGTTCGGGGATCCCCGAGGGTCTGCTGCTGGTACTATAGATGATGTTTTTAGGGGGTTTCCCTGGGAACTGTTGGTGCCATTGCACACTATAACCATCCCCGATGTTGGAGCTGCTTCCAGTGCAGGAGATGGTGACACTCTGTCCTGGGTTCCCAGACACTGAGGGCGGCTGAGTCAGCACAGCCTGGGCCCAAGACCCTGCAGGAGGGAGAAACAGAGAGATGGTGATTCTGGGTCCAGAGACAAGAGCAGGAAGAAGACCCCCAAGTGTCCTACCCAGGTTTCCTCCCCTGTCCCCTTATCCAGTCACCTGTGCAGTGAGCCAGGAGGGTGAGCAGGACAGGGGACCAGAACATGGTGGAGACCATCCCTGAGCCCTGCCTTCTGTGACCCCACAGCTGAAGCACAGATGGCCCCAAACCTCACCCTTCCCCTCTTCATACTCTGGGAGAGGGAGGGCCCACTCATGCAAATAAGACCTCCCTCCCCTCAGATTTCTGATCCCTCCCTGGGCCCTCCCTTGGCGACCTGTGCCTGGGGATTTCAGGGTAGGGGTTAGGAGTGTGCCTGTGTGAAGCCCAGGGCGTGGCAAGGTCATAGCCGTGTGCCCTAAACAGAGGGCACCAGGCAGTACCAAGTCACAGGTCCCAGCTCTGATTAGCCCAGACCTTCAGGAACAGTCCCTGAGCGCCCCCTGGTGCTCAGACTTAGACACACCATTGTGTGACATACTGGCTGAGGCCCATCACAGACAGACCCTGCCTCCCCACAGCCCTGTCCCCTGACCTGCTCCCTTAGGGGCAGTCCCTGTGCCCCCTTATGAGGGGTCCCCGTCACTCCAGGACACTTTCATGCCCTACTCAGATTACTCAGGATGAGTGGGTCCACGTGTCCCTTGGCTGAACCATGGTCAGCACTGTGCTGCTTTCACTCCTGTCATCCTCCTGAGAGCAGAGTCAGCCCAGAGCAGTGACTGTCCCACGGGAGCATGAGCCCTATTTCAAGGCAGTTTTATTTTTTACTGTGATTACTCCCTTGTTAGTAATTAATCTGCATTCCTCCAAGGCCCCCCAAATATACATTCTCTCAATGTCCTTCCTTTTTATAAGCAGACAATAAGTATATTTTTATGCCTATAATTTTGGCCAAGCTTTACCTATTATCTGGTATGGGGGGCTTTGCCTGAGGAGCCCTCCCGTCTGCCGTGGATGAGAATAAGTCTACCAAGGCCTGGACTGCTTGGGGAGGAAAGGTGGCCAATCTCTCAAAAAAGAAGGACCAGGAGCCTGTTCCTCAATGGGTTTTTATTGGATTTATCCCCAGAGAAATACAGCGCATCTACATAAAGCTCATCAATCATTGTCAGGCAGTAATGATCAAACAATAGATAACTTTCAAAGAACTATTCGGGTTTATTTTGAGTCAGAGTCAGAGAGCTAAAGGGCCATAAAATTTGGGGGAAACTCATTCGACCCTTATCATTTAAATTGAGGGTATTAGTAAAGTAGGTTTCATAGGACTCTATGCATTTTTTCTTAGGCCTGATGGCCCCTGGGAACCAGCCCTTTCCAGCACTCACCTCAGGCATTGTTTCAGGCTTAAATTGGGCAGGGGAAGTAAGGCAGACAAGAGATTTAGAGACTTCTTGCTGACAGAATGAGGACTCAGGCTATGTCCCAGCCAAGGGGCAAGGGTCCATCACCCTGCTTCTTTTATAGCCCCCAAGTTTTCCCCTGAGGGCTCCTTCCTGCCCCTGTCTGTCTTAGGTCTTCTCTCCTTTGAGAAATCTTACCTTAATTGGTTAACCAGTCACCTGCCTGGGGCCAAGCAGGGTGAAGTAAAAAAGGCAGAAGTGGTACCCCTGCCAGGGAGATAAGCTTTCTCTCCTTAATGGTCCCAAGGGGAAGAAGGCTTATGAGACCTAAGCTCATGGTCCCAAGATCCTTTACTCAGCATTAGCCATGTGGGACTAGGGCTTCTGAAATCAGGCAGGGCAGTTCCCAACAACCTGGTATCTTCATTATGTTATAAATTGAATAAGTAACTAACACTGGTCCTGTGTATATTTGAATTAGAGCTGGATATCAATCGTTTTAGTCAGGCTCACTCTGATCCCATTTCCCTTCTTTGCCTTTCCCTAACCTTTTCCTGGAAGGATCAGCCCCACAGTGCCCACTGCTTGTCTCTGATCCAGGGCCCACCAGCCCCTGGACCACACCCAGCACTCACAGAGGGCATCCTGATTTGGCACTGGGGCCTTTGGGATGTCACTACCCAGAACAGGAGAATGAGTGGGATTCTCCATGGGGTTGGGAATTAAGACATTATTGTCTCTAGATAACCAATGACTTCCAGGTGGCTACATGCAAGACGCATTCACCCTGTTTATGTTGCCAGATATTTCCGGTTCTCTTGACATGTCCTCTTGCTCCTTCTCCTTGTGAGATGCCATTTCACATATAGAAACATCTTAATCCAAGTTCAAGGCTCAAAACTTTCACTGCACTCTGCTGGCTCTCACTGACAAAAAGTCTATGGGATTTACATTTACTCAATAACATTGTGTTGCTGGTGTGTGTTGGAGACACTGCTGTTTGAGTCCCACCCCCACTGCCCAGGTACTGGTGGGTCATGTCCCTCTCTGTCACTACAATCAACACTGTCAGAGAGAAAGTGTCCTCCTGCTCTCCACTCCAGCCCGTCATGTCCCCTTCAGTGCTATTCTGATACTTCTTTCTTTCCTCTTTTGCCTATATTATATGATTATGTGCTTTTCCCCTTTACCCTTTTTGGTCTAATCCTAAAATTATGTTCAGTCTAAAGATTGAAATCTACATCTTTACTATAAACATCTCTTTTGTGTATATTGTTTCTCCTTTTCAATGTAATGGCCTCATTCCACACTGAGTCATAGTCAACTTGTGTGAAAATGCCTTCAATGTTGACCTGGAAGAAAAACCAACCAGAGCTTTCTTGAAATTTCCTTGTGTTTTTGATAATTGATGGCACTGAGGGTTGCCTCACTGGCTCTAGATGCCAATAAACTGAAAAGTTTTAAAAAACGTTTAAATAATTAAGACTTTCGTTATTAAACTGGGTACTGCTAAAGGTTGTGTTCCTGACAGCCAGGGCCTGAAAGAAACAGGGCTCTCTCCTGTGCATGGGAATCCAGAAGTTCCTCAAGGATGATCTCAGGAGAAAGAGAACACCCTTCTGTCTGCAGATGTCAGAGCTCAAGGAGTCATCAGCACATCCTGGTCCAGGCTCAGGGGACAGAAACAGGACTGAGCAGCAGGAAACCCGAAGCTTCTCCCTGAGCAGCTGGGCATGGACCACAGCAAAATCCCACAGCACCCCCTGGTGTTGGTAGTGCACACATCTCTACATTTCCTAAAGGCCTTAGAGCTCAGCTGGTCCCTGCAGCTCAGCAGGTCACTGACTCTATCCCCATGTCTATGCCATACTCCCCAATACTGTGATTCTGATCCACTGTGTATAATCACAGTACAATCCCTCACTTCGGGATGGAGGCCCCACCTGTTGCTCATTCCTGACTGCAGAGATACACATGCCTCTCAAATTCCTAAGACACTGTCATTCTCAATGCTCTGTGCACAGCATGTCCCCAGTCCCACACCTCCCTGTCCCACTCCAGGTGGTTACGGGTTCGTTCCCCTGTACACTCTCCAGGACCACTCAGGTTCCCATGTCTGCTGCTAGAATTGGTCCTCACTTTGTTGTATTCTTTGCATAATTACCAGTTATGTTTCACATATACACATGTGGTGAGGCCCCTGTCTGATGATAAATCTCTCATGTATACCCTCTCTACAATAACTAAGAGAAAATCTTTAGTGTCTCATTCAAGGTATCTGGGTCAAGTCAGCACAGGGTCCCACCTCCTCCCTCCCATCTCCCGTCTGTAGCCTGTGAACTAGCACACGTGGACCCTGGAGGCTAAACTGAAACTTACCTCTGGACCCTTTTGGGTTAAATGCTGGTCAGACCACACCCCCCATTACTAGCACTGTCCTTACAGGAGACACGAGCAACCTTTCACCCTACTGCATATCCAAAAACAGTGTCAGTTTAGACCTGCTGGGGGATGACTCTCAGCCATCAGGCAAGGCATGAGCAGTTCTGAAAGAGCTTCACAGCAGGGCACCCCTGCATCTGCTGGTGTCATCACTGGCTCTGCTTGGACCCTCTAACTTCAGACATAATCCCAGGAGGACGTCCTAGTCTAGGAATTCAATTGACCTGTTTTCCTGAGGGAGGTGGGATTGCAAGATGCCATGCTTGGCAAGAACCACCAGTTCAGTTGGTAGAGCTGGACTTAAGCTATAAGATGCTCACTGTCCTCTTCTTCCACTTAATATTCTCGATGCCCTGCCCACTTGCTTAGCACCTGGTCAAGATTTCTACCTGGTAATAGGCACCAGAAATAGCTCCATATGCTCATATGCTACAAACACATGTCCTTCTCAAGATGTGGGCTATGTTTTTATTATGTTTCACTTTAGCATGTCTCTTCAGAAATCACAGCTGTATAATATTGCTAATGTTCAACTGACAATTAAAGGCCAATGTGAGAGGCTACAAGCATTTATTTGAGATAAGATGCAATTGTAGGCCTGAGGCATACGTTCATTCATGCAGAAAGCCACCCTGTGTCAAGTTACGGGGTGAAGGCAGTAATTTTTATAAGATATGAGAAGAATTAATTTCATGAATAGAAGAGAAGTATTTCAATTGGTGATAATGAGCCAAGAAAGAAATCTCTACAGTGAAAATAAGCGAAGTTGTTCTTTAAATAAACACAGTGAAGCCCTTTGTAAAGAACGTCTTGAATTGTGAGCCCTGTAATCAGTCTGTCTGCTTTCCCATTAGCTTTGCAAACAGTTGTCTGGAACAGGCAGCTGCTTTGACCCAGAACAGAGTCTAGGCATTCCTGCCCTCTAGCACCACAGAGGCTGGAGAAGGAAGACGGGCAAGGACACTCCTCTGGGAGGTGGCTCCAGCTCCATTTCCCACTGTCTCTGCCTCCTCTGATTCTTCACACCAGATTATGAAGTGGGTCTTGGTTATCAAATGCCGGCCAGGCCACAATCAGAACTGACTGTGTATGTGCACATGTGTCCTCATGGGAATAACCTTTCCTTTCCTGTCCTGTCCATTACCTGTGAAATTATTGATGACATTTGCTCTTGTTTTATAAAGAATCTTGTCTTCATGAAACCATGGGTTAAATCAAGTGGTGGCTTAGAAATGTGGATCAGGTTGCACCCCATAGGGCCATGGAGAACAAGCCTTGTGAGCCCACACTTGATAGACCAGCCTCTGAGAGCAGGAGACGGGGGATGGGAGGAACAGAGGGTGGCTGAGCCCTGGGTTTTTCTCTCA